GGACACGCACTTATTATGTGAATAATAGTGATTTAATGTGCTCGTATGTCTGGTTAAATAAGTTGCCTAAGTAGCGTTAATCGTGGTTCGAATGCTCGGAAAGCTAGCCTGTAAAGAACCGATCAATGAAACGGACACAAAAATGTGTCCTTCGGATACAACGGAATTTTACTATTTTGATGTCATTATGGCTCATTTTTTATTTGTTGTGTTACTTTACTTAAATTTTAATCGAATTCGAACCTGGGAAATTGTGCGCTTCACTTCATACTCGGGAACAGTTAAAGTTCTTTTCTCAAACAAGTTTAACTATAATATATCGCGTTTTAAACCATTAAAGTGTTTTATTTAAATGTCTATTACTCGCGTAAACTACAGACAGTATTTGGTTAATATTCCTAATTTACTTCCAATGAGTGCACATACACTGAGAACTATTTTACACGTCACTAAAATACCCGCGTACGCTTTTACAAATATCAAAGTTTTCGTATCTCTTCTATGATAATTTAACTAGCGTTAATTGGACGTACAACTTTCATCCAACAAACGTACTCTAGTAGGGAAATCACGGTGGAAAAAAGCGAATATTCTAGAAACTATCAAAAGAATTAATTCAGCGAAGAATAACGCATGCTAAAATATATTACCATAAACAAAGGCGTCTCACACGCGCCGGCAAGTTTTTGTTCACTGACGCTTTTAACCAAATAAAGCATACATTTAAACATTTTAATATTTCTGAAACGCTATGAGTGTTTGAAAGCGAACAAAGATTCTAGAACACAGTTCATGTACTAGAATTGTTTCATTCGACATTACGTGGAGTACATTTAGTATTACACGCTTAGCCACGAAGTTCGTGCGAATGGCGATGCGAAAGATTGAGCGACAATTCTGTTTCACCACTCAGGAGCAACGCTGTGGATGCCGGTTCAAGTCCCGACCTATCAAGAACGATACTATGTATTAAGGTTGAAACTGCGTTGGGCGAGAGATGTATCTAGGTAGTAATAATGACGACGACAATGACGTGAAGGACACGGTAGTTCAATTGGTTAGAGCAACGGCACGGATCGCTGTGGGTGCCGGTTCGTCCTGCCCGTGTCATACGTTTTTTTTTCAATCTAAAATCGATTTTACATAATATAATTACATGTAAAAAATATAGTTTACGAACGTCTTTACGTCCTGTTACGTCTACGTTAAGGATTTTGGTGGCATTTGCGTCGCTAGTACGTACAACGTGATTAGAAGATTGTTATACATTATTTTTAGTCCCTAGACATTGGAAACTAGACGGTTTAAAACGCGAAATATAAAAGTTATTTAATCTTTTTAATTAGCACGACAACTTTTTTTAAAATTTTCAATCTCTTGTACCTTTTATACATATAGCGCTTCGAGAATTATATTCGAGAGATTAAAAAAAGAGAACGCCCTGTGTAGATGACGGAAGGGGCGAGGCGAGACACAATAATATGTCCGTTTGATTTTGTTAAAGGGCAGATAAAACTAAAAATCTTTCTATGTTTACTCGACTAAAACTTTGCAAATTTTCTCAGGGATTCATACCCCCAACTTTGAAACTCGAGTTTATAAAGAAACTAGTAAAATCCCGTTTACACTAGATTTGGATTCGTACATTTCGTTAAATAATGCATTAAAATCGAATAACGAATACGTATTTTTGAATCGAATTTGTAATTAATGGCTGTACAAAGCGATTAATAACACTTTGTTTCGAATTTAGGAAGCGTCTAAAACCTTTTTCCATACAACATTATGGAACAAAAAGCACATGAATGAACAGAGAAATCCAATTAGCTACCGAACAAAAGAGCTTGAAATATTACTTGACACGATCGATAACTTTCACTTGTTTATAAAAAAATATTACGAGATCGTGTCGCCATTGTGGCTTCAATAGCGAAATGCAGCTTATCTTTTGCGGAAACGACATTTTTTTTTTGGTTTAATATCGATTTTTTTTTGTGGTGTAGTAACAAAAAAGTTGTATCTAGTAACCGATGTTTTATCGTTTGGGTGAAATTTTTTGAAACGGGAATTAAATTAGGTTCGGTCTAATGGTAGCAAAGAATGCTAATAACGGGTCGTGGGTTTGATCCCCACCGGGTCCAATATATTTCTAGCATTTTTTTCTGTAACACTGAGATCGTCTGGAAGACTGGATATTAAAAATGGGTAGTAGGAATATCAAATCCCGTCTGCGTCACAAACCACAGTTCACAGATGATATAGCCGTGATGCTTGATAGAGTTTCGGTTTAAATTACCGAATATTCAAAGTTAAAATAGGGCGACAGATCACGATCACACTACTTCTCAACACCTTCCAACAAGTCATACCACATACATACGTGAGTTTGGACTTTTGCAAGGATATAAATAAAAATCTATTTTTTAGACTTAGATATGATCATAGTGTTTTCATACTACAAAAATAAGCTGTTAGTATCTTTCTTTAAATTATTGTTCTTGTTTTATGTCTTTCCATTCTATTTCTTTTTAGAATAAATATAAATATGTAAATACTGTCTATAGTTTACGCGAGTAGTACACATTTAAATAAAACACTTTAACGGTTTAAAACGCGATATATTAGTTAAACTTATTTGAAAATGATTTTTAACTTCGGCCCGACGTTTCGGATGCTTTGCAGCAGCCGTGGTCACGGGAAGCCAGTCCGTGACCAGGCTTACAAAGTCATTTTCAAATAAGTTTAACTAATATATCGCGTTTTAAACCGTTAAAGTGTTTTATTTAAATATAAATATGTAGATATATGTATATGTAGATAATATAAATATGTATTGATAGCCTCTGTCATAAAAAACCTATCTATATTTATTCTAAAAAGAAATAGGGACAGCTATCATTCAATGGTAGATTACATTAAATACGTGAGTCACATAACATCTAAAACAGATTCGCTATCGACATATTTAGTCTTTAGATTACCGGAATTCCCCAGACTGACCCCAAAACACGATAAAACTTTTCTTCTTCACCTGTGGAGGTACCAACGAGACACCGACAAACAAACTGTCATATAGGATGTAAACTTTAATGTAACAGAATATATTATATAGACCCGTACCGATATAATAGTCAGCGGAAATTACTATAAAGAAAACGGAAATTTTCCGCTTTTCTACTGTACATTTTAACTGTGTTAAAAAGAATTAAGGACAGTCGTCTTTGTCTAATATTAAGTTCAGCGTTTGCATGGCAATTTCTTAAATAGATGAGAAAAGCCACAATTATTTTTAAATTTATTGATTTGGAAAATAGTCCGAAAAATAAAGAGACTAAAAAGTAGAATAGTGTTGTTATCATTAGAAGATAATGGAAGATATTTGATGTCGCACAAATACCAAAGACAAAAAAGCATTTAGATTTGTTTTAAGTTAGTATAGACACATTTGATTTATTTACCATTTGAAAAATAAACAGGGCACATAATCTATGGTATTGTACTATCATCTCAAAAGCATTAATTGTTTTTGCCACATGTTCACTAACTCTATATGTCTTTGGTATAATTTTGTCCAAAACATTTCATTTACCGTAATCCTTATAAGGTACAAACATCGCAATTAAGTAATATCCAGCTGAAATTCTTATAATAATTACATGGAAATGTGGAACCGCGGCGCAAGAAAATGAAAATGCATTTTGGGATAAAACTGCGAACGTATGCATTCCCTGTTAATCCGCGCGGGCAAAATGAACGACACATCTATGACTTTTTACGTTTTTAAAACGTACCTTGGGAATACGTTATTAGGTTTACGGGAGAACGTAATTCATTTAAAACATTGTTAAACCTGCAAATAAGTATGTAAGGATGTTTGCAGCTCTTTCAGACCCAAGCGGCTCAATCAATTTTGATGAAATTATGCATCGTTGTGTAGAAAAAAATGTCATATATGAATACTTGATTGTGTTTACTTCTACTAGCGTAGTACTGCCAAGAAAATTAAGCACGCAAGTCTAGTGTCTGATGTCTTATTGATGTCTGTTTTGTATCATCACTACATAGTATAAATTAAAGTCGCTTTTTCTGTTCCTATGTGCGCTTATATCTTTAAAAATACGCAACGAATTTTGATGTGTTTTTTTTTATAGATAGAGTGATTTAAGAGGAAGGTTTTTATATATACAACGTTTACAGTTTTTCGTTATTGTATTTAGTATCATCATTGTACACGTGCGAAGCCGAGTCGGGTCGCTAGTAAATTTATATTTATATATAAGGATAAACTAGCTATCCCCAAATATAGGCTCCATAAAATATCTAATTCATTTTCAGGGAATTGTATTCGTATGTATATATATTTATATATTTATTTATAATACATTGCCAGTTGAGGTATCAAATTTATCGATGAATAAATTTAAAAAAGTTATACAATTCGGACTGTCTCAAAAGGCGTATTATTGCCTGAACGATTTCTTTAATGACAAGACCGCCTGGCAGAAATATGAATTGCTCCTTAGGTTAATACATTCACAATGTATTAGTTTATAAGACATGTTAAACAAAAAGCCGGACTGAGTTTCTTGGGTGTTCTTCTCAGTTATGTTTTGCTCCTAAATAAATTTTAAAGAGTATATTTTATTTTATTTTTTAGAAAGAAAAACATACGACACAGGAATGAACCTAAATAATTTTCATTAAACAACACTATTTGCAATATCAAGTGAAAATATAACAAAGTTTGCAAGTCTCTTCAGATTTCACTAAGGTACGTACAATAATTTATCAAATTTCTCTTCATAAAATCAAACTTCACGCTTAATCGCATCTTAATATTACTTTCGACTTTTTTTGTTATGTTAATTGATACTTTCTTTTTAAGACAAATCGTGGAAATAAACTATGACGAAATTTTCAGATTCTAAGTCCGTATAATACAATATTTTAGTTCTATACAGTGTTGTTATGGATATCCATATTCGTAACCGTAATTGATATTATATTTTACCAATGTCCGGTTTTTTTTCAGCCTCAAAGCTCAATGCAATATTGTTTTGTGATAGATACCATACCTGACCGATTAAAAATCATTCAAATAATTTTACCCTGTATTAAGAACTTCAACAAAATTGTATGTATTACCTTATTATCCTTCTGCCAAGAGCACACGCCCTTCTTATCTGATATTCTGCACTTAAGCAGTGCATCTTCACCTGGATTCACCTCTGTATACGTGGGAAACTCCACGAACCTCTGAACTGCATCTGCAAAGAAAATAACTGATTACCTCAGAGTTAAAACCTATGTAGAGAGACTCAATAAAAAGTAACTTTAGTAATCTTTGTAAATTTTAGATTTATTTCAAACCGAAAGTTACGTAAGGATTTTTTTATGATGGAGGTGGACAGGTAAGCATGAAACGTTCGGAAATACCCAGATTGCAACCTTTACGCACCTTAACACTTTACGTCTTTTCATCTGTGGACGGTGGACAGAATTTAGATACTCCTCCTAGATATAAGGCCGCTAGAGGCAGAGAAGCCTAACTGTGTTTTTTATGACTTCATTTCTAAATTCATAATCTAAAAATGTTAATCTACAAGAGAATAGTGACCGAAAATTGTTAACACAATTTTTACATAAGTGATAGTTATATTCCATATTAGCCTGAGTTAATTGCGCACTTTTATTTTCTACCTTTTTGAAAATCATGTTTTTTGTTATTATGCCACTCTGACTCTCGCACCCTCAAATCCAGGTAAAGTCTAGCATGTTACAGAAAAGTATAAATTGATTTTGAATTGTTAGACATGGTGGGAATCGACCAGTTATTATAAGCATGTGCTTAATATTAAGCTTTCAAAGCTTTTTAATTTCAGCTTCATCAAATAATAAACACATATCTAGATTATGAATTCACTTCGTTTTAAACACTTTTTCTTTCAATGTTATTTTAGCTAGATGAGCTTTCATCAAACACAGAGGATTTGAAACTAAGTGTTTGTAAACTTTAATATTTTTCACTTGTTATTGCACACGATGGCATGATAAAAATTAAAAATGTATTTAGATTAAAAAAAATGCGCCACGGCCGGGAGCTGCCGTATCTATTATTTAGAGCAGCAGCACGGAACGCTATAGATACCGGGTCGAATCCCGCCCGTGTCGTCAATTTATTTTCTCTTTTCACATTTCTATCGCTTCTAAATTTTTACAGGATTCAATTTTAATACATTTTGTAGACTCGACATGATTAGCGACTATCAATGGTCTAACCAGTCGCTTAACCATTTGGTGATCAAGAAATTACTTGAAGTTAAAAATAATTTAAGCTCCTTGATTACAGTAATACCCTCAGTTAATAGAATTACCGTTTGTAAAATGCATGTCTGCGGTTTTATTTCCAGTGAAAATTACCTTTAATTACTTTGTGAATTGTGGAAGCGATTAAATTATACTCTTTGCCTTACTTTCATTAAACATTTTATTAGTTTCACATGAACGTATTTAAATTAAATGTATTTGCAATTAATGCGAGTTCTGAAATGTATTTTCTGCTTTATTGCTCTAATTACAATGTTTATTATGAATTTTCAATATTATTTATACGATATAAAAAAAGCAGACTTCTGTGACGGAATCGCAGGTTTGGTAGCAAAGGTCCTTAGATTCGATTTCCAACGAATCAAGTTTTTTTGCAAAATAATGAGATAATTAATATGCTTGACATCCATTCGGGTAATGAACCACTAAGAAATTGAGTCATGGTCGTAGATTCGAATGTCTATATAAAATTAGGTTTCATTAAATTGTAGTGTTACTTAAAGGCACTTATAGAGATTCAAATAAATCCTAAATATGTAATTTGCGCAAGTAGTCGTATAAAAAACATTTAAACGGTTTAAAACAAGATCGAGATGTAATTAAGTAAACTTGTATTGCTGTTCTAGAAAAAAATCGGTTAACTAATTCTTGCTTTTAGAGCATTTTACGATGCTACTTGAAATATTTAACATTTTTTACATGTTATTGCACATGATGGCATTATAAAAATTAAAAACTATTTAAATTGAAGAAAATTACAACTATAACGCTGTGGATGCCGGTTCGAGTCCCGGGGGTGTCGTTATTTTTTTTTTAATCTAAAGATTTTTTATTTATATAAAGCTTTTCTAGCGTCCAATAATTTTCTATTAAATAAGTATACGAACAACATTATATGTAAGCAACAATACAATTCCGAAGCAAGTAACTAAATACAGTGATGTCTTGTGCGAGAACAAAGTCGTTGAAAAGTGTAAAGATAAGCCTTTGGAGCAGCGATCTCCATTGGTTAGAACTCCAATTTGCAGTAAGTTTTACTTAGAATTTATATTCAGTTTGCGTACAATCTCTATCTCGCTCTATCTCTTACCCACCAAAGGATGTAAAACTCAATTGTAAACTAATCGAAGTTTCAATAAGAGATTCGGTAGGAATCGAATTTCAACAAAATCATTTCGGTATTGTCTGAAGTTTCCGCGAGTAGTACACATTTAAATAAAACGGTTTAAAACAAGAAATATACTGAACCCCGCCTCACCACGGCTGCTGCAAATGAGTCAAAACGTTGCGCGTCGGATGCAATTAAATTATATTACAAATATGTTTACTAATGCATTTCGCGTTTTAAACCAGTAAAGTGTTTAACTATTTAATTTAATATTGTGTCAGTAAGAAATAGCTAGCGACAAGCCCCTCTTTCAAACCACTATTTACACATTTTCATAGAAAGGCTTTTATAAAATGAATATATTTTTTGTATTGAACGACAAAGGTGGCCATGATCCCGCAAACTGCAGATTCGTTTACGTTGTCTATGTTTTGTAATGTTAATTGTAGCCCACATTTTGTGGGCTACAATTATTATCCACACTAATAATATTATAAAGCTGAAGTCCACTTCAGACAAACATACATTCACACACAGTGAAACTCTTCAGAGTTTTGTTTGTTTAAACGCACTAATCTCAGAAACTACTAATTCGAAAAACGGGGGAAATTAGTCATCTTTGAGGGCTTCCGTTGCGTGCGTTACGAAAACGCTTCATGAAACTTCTTCTTTCTTTCTTTCTTTTTAAACAAAAAATATGCATAAAAGAAGTATCTTTCTTTAAATAATCAGTATCACTAATTGTTTGCTAGAGTTATATCAATATTATTTTAATCTTGCAAACAAAACACGTTGATCAACTAACTCATAAATATTTTGCCTACTTCAGCGCCCAGCTCAAATAGAATCTATTTGACAATAGCACGCCCTTCTTTGTAATAACGCAGTCGGTTGAAAGGGCTACTATCTCAAGCGTAACGCATCTTCAGTCCCACAATTATCGTTCTCAAGTATAAACCGCTTCAAATTCAGTGGGAATGAAGGACGCGGGAATGAGTTGGTACATTTTTTGTATCCATTCGCTTGTGTAAATATTTGAATTGGTCCGCACCGTAAAATGAATTAAAATCTCTTTCATCTCCCAGCGGGGAATAAATATCACTTTATTGTACTCTAGTGGTTTATTTATCCAGTGTTCTGCTCGTACGAGCTTTTAGATTTAGACTTTAGTTGGGCAATTCGGGCTGGGATTTCCGGAGCGGTTGCAGTCTTTTTTTATTATAAAGGAGGAGAGGCAAGCGGGGGTTCACTTAATGGGAGGTGAAGTACTTCTACTATATAATATCTAAACTAGATTCGCTGTCGATCTATTATAGCTTTCAAAATTAGGAAGTCCACAGTCTGAAGCCGAAACGCCATTAAACTTCTTTTATCTGTAAACGCTGGTTTGTGACCACCAGCGGTTCCAACTACAGATTTCCAGAAGTTCATTAATTTGCGACCCTAATGTCTAATCTTTTGTGTTTGATTCCGTTTTTTTTTCATTTTACGTATTTTATAAAACTCTAACGATCGACTTCGTGATATATATATGCGTTTCCAAAATATGGTAGGTGTGGTAGGTTTGAATACTGATCACACACTGTTTCGCTCAGGCATAAGACCAACTACTTGCCTGTCTGTCCCACGTCCCGCATATTGGGAGGAGCGATTTCCTAATTTAGGTTTCCGTGTGAAACTAAAAACCTAGAGCTCCTAATTACACAGGCTAATATTCACGTCACTCACGGTTTAAAAGTGAGTTTTAAACATTTAAAATGTAACACCTACAGTTCCCGATAAAATCGCAGCGTGACGTTAACGACAAATAATTGTTCTTAATTGCTTAGAAACAGTTGCACGCTAATACTACTTTAATGATACTTAAAACGTATTTTAAATTTAAAATGTCGCTATGTGTTAATTTATTAGTAAACTAATGTATTTTAAAGTTGCTTATGCATTTTTTAAAAATGCGGGCCAACACTCGATTACATAAACTGAAATCGAAATGCGATTAAGCTTCACGGATTTTTCACCTGTGGACGGACGGACCACCCACTAAATATCCAGATTTTCAAGACGAAGTCCAGCGTGTTTCAGAAATATTATAGCTCGATAGAAACCCACGACCCGTTGTTTATAAGCGAAATTAAAAATAAGAGAAACCAACCTGTTTAATCGCATATAATGCACGTTTTAAGCCGTTAAAAGTTGTATTTAAACAAAGAACTCTTAGAAAAACAGATGCAAAAGCCGTGAAGTTCAATCGCATTTCGGTTGTAGTCTGTGGATTTCCGAATAACCAAAGCCAAAATATATTGACGCCGTATCTTGTTTATTATGTAGCTGGGGTATTTCTTCCACTATTTTATTAGTATTTATTCCATCAAGTGCTTGTCCGTCCTCCTATATGATAAAAAAAGTGTTAGAGAAAAACCCATTTTAAATGTAATGCCAGACTTATAATACGTAACGATACATCAAATCAAATCGCGCCGGAAAAGCTCGCAAGTCACAATGCAAGCTCGCCGGTTAAAATTGGACATTCGGGAGTTACGTGGAATTGAGCAAATGTCGTTGGCTTATTTACGGTAAGTGCTGGTTAGAGCTGGTTATCTGATAGCCAAGTTCCTATTCAACTGACAATAACCCTGACTCTAAATTACTGTTTTAAAATTGATACCGTATTGTATCCTTTTGCTCGTTATTTTTAATCAGAATTTAAAATATAAAAATCGTAATCTTGAGCGAAGTAACGAAGATGAAAAAAACGAATTATATTGCGATCTTTGTTAATTAATTAAATCTACATAGTATGTATAATTTTTATACAAAAACTTTTACTGAGGCTTTAGGCTATATTACTATCACGCTGCGACCAAGAAACAGTTGAATGTTTGGAAGAAATGCCGAAATTTTATTTATTTTTAAGGGCCTCCGTTGCGTGTGCTATCTCCCTTTTACGTTTAATTCGCAAGAACTGTATAGTAATCAAATTTGATCGAAATTAATGCATTCACACGAATTATTTGTTAAGGTTATATTAATGTTTTAAACAACATAACAACGTTTGTGGATCTGCCTAAAACATAACTTGTCGTTTTGCTCGTGGTTCGATTTCCAACTGTGACGGACCTTGAGTTACTTATCATGATGGTACGTCAATGCAATTTGAATCTTAAAAAACCTTTATGCTTCAGAAAACTGACACATTTAGTTTTATTTGTATAAACATATACATTTATAGAATAAGAAATTTAAACATTCTTCCATACATTTATATTATATTCTTATTATGTTATGATTTAGTGCGTGTTATAAAATAGCTATCACTGTTAATCTTCACGGTAATTTAACTGCGCACGCGCTTGTACTTGCTCCGTCGCGTCGTCGTAATAAAATGTATAATTACATTTCAATTAAGTTAGCAACATCGTATTTACTGTTTGTACTACCAGAATTGTGACTATCAGACTTGTTCATATTTTTGGTGAAGACGGACAGAGTATAGAAATTCAATCCACTTGCCTGTTCATAAAATAGATTGTTGAAACAAACAGACATAAAGCTTGAAGGTATCTTGTTGGAAGTTGAATTAGTCCAGACCTATAACGTCAAATGCCGTTGACTCTGGATATTTAAATATTCTCGAGTAATATTGAATAAAATAATTTTAGCGGGGTAACATTTAAAATAAAAAATTGTGAAAATATTCTTATATACATAATACGAACTGACGTTTCGGAAACTTTATAGTAAGTGTGGCCTTGTATATTTCACGTTTTAAACAGTTGGGTGTTATTTCCTCAAAGATCGTTTAGGTATTATGTAGACAAGAAAACTTTAAAAGTCGTATGATTCGTTTACGACGAAGAAGCAGATTTGACTTTGATATATAAATAAACAACACATTTAACGGTTTAAAACGTAGCCACAGCTGCTGCAAAGCATTCAAAACGCCGGGATATATATA